GACACCCTTTTAGCTCAGTAATGAAGTCATTCCCAAGGTTCACCGTTCAGCCAAAGATTAGACAGCCCCATAAAACAAAACGAGACTAATGGTGCACAACAGTCCAGGGACAAAGGACTAGAAGGCAGGAGGGGACAGGAAAGCTGGTAATAGGGAACCCAAGGTTGAGAAGGGACAGTGTTGACATGTCGTGGCATTGTTAACCATTGTCATAAAACAATATGTGTAGTAACTGTTTAATAAGAGTACATCATCTAAAGTACAGTTAAAAAAAAAAAAAGCACAGCAAAAGACAAATCAGTGGGACCTCATAAAAATTAAACACTTGTTCATCAAAAGACTACCAAAAAAGTGAAAGGACAAGCTACCCACTGGGAAGATCTCTTCAGAAACCATATATCCAATAAGAATTTAATAACCAAAATATATAAAACGTCAACAGCTTAACAACAAAAAGACAAATAACCCAGTCTTAAAATGGTCAAAGGACTTGAATAGACATTTCAACAAAGAGGACATTCAGCAGCCATCAAACTCATGAAAAGATGCTCAACATCATTAGCTATCAGAGAGATGCAAATTCTGGCAGAGACAACAGCAGTTCAAAGGTCCTCAAGTGGGGATAAGATTAGCTTATTTGAAGAAGCAGAAGAACCAGTCAGTGTGGCCAGTGGCTAGTGAACAGGAACAGAATGGTATAGAATGAAGTGGACAAGATAGGCAGGGCCTTGTGGGCCAGAGTGAGGAGCCACCCTTTGATCCTCAGGGTGGCTTAAGCAGCTGGCCTTTCTCTGTCCTGCTTCATGACGGTTTTTCCCACAAGCGTGTTCTTTGACTTGGCCTATGTAACACAAATTGCTGACAGCTTTAAATCACTAGTTTTGCATTGATTTTATTGCAAAGTAATGAGAACTTGCTTTATCTTGGATAAACCAGAAAACCAAATCCGTTGCCATCAAGTAGATTCCAACTCACAGCGACCCTGTAGGACAGAGTATAACTGCCCCATAGGATTTCCAAGGAGCAGCTGGTGGATTCAAACTGCTGACCTTTTGGTCAGCAGCCAAGCTCTTAACCACTGTGCCACCCGGGGTCCTTGGATATAACTGTTGACAAGTTCTATATAGAAGAAAGAGTCTTACCATGGAAGGAGTGGAAGTGAGAGCTCTTATAAGAAGGTATCAGGGTAATATGTGGAAGAGGAGAGGAGACTGGTAGACAGGGATGGGCTCTGGTAGTAGTGGTCCAGGTATGCAAAATCTTCAGAAAGGTGGAGGGATCATATCCTGTCACTGGCTGCACCTTTCCAGTGGCTATGACAGGATTAAGGGAAGAATTCTGTCTGCATGGGGGAAGAAGGCAGATGTTTTCACAGTAAGGTGTTAGAGGGTAGGCATTACAAGATAACAGCTGTTTGTATTTGTGTTTTTTATGTTTAGATATTGTTAAGGTCAAAACTTTCTGTTCTCTTCATGCTTTCAGGTGTTTATATTCTAGTTGGGGAGATAAGTACACAGATAACCACCATACAAGTCACTGGAAGGTTCCAAACTTGTAGAGACTAAGGGAGCATAAAAGAGAACAAGATCGGTGATAGCCTAAGTGATTGGGAAGGCCTCTGGAGGTTTCATTTAAGTTGGACTTTAATGGAGGCTGGGGATATGGAGGATTTCAACTAATAGAAAAGAAGGCTGAGATGAAGGATTGGGCCAACTTTTAGAAGATGCTAAATAAAAGGCTTAGGAATAGAGATCGTCTTGTCAACAAAATGGAGCTAGCAAGCGGCCGTCTAAGATGCATCAATTGGTCCCAACCACGTGGAGTAAAGGAGAATGAAGAACACCAAAGACACAAGAAAAGTCTTAGCCCAAGAGACAGAAGGGGCCACCTAAACCAGAGATTTCATCAGCCTGAGACCAGAAGAACTAGATGGTGCCCAGCTACCGCCAGTGACCGCCCTGACAGGGAACACAACAGAGAGTCCCTGA